CGCTAGCATAACAGTTGTTAGAAATGATTATCTTGATCGGTGAAATGAAGAGCGTTCTAGAAATATTCTCAGACGCTCTGGCCCTTGCGTGAACAGAACTTGGCGAGCCCAGCCCTGTCCATTCTTCAGAATGGCGCCCTAACGCTCGGATGATGAATCCTCTGTGCTCTGCCTCCCCTTGAGGTTTTCCTGTCAGACCATGGTTAGGACTCACTGATCCTCCACCCGGATATCACTGCATCTGCCTCGAGGAAACTTTCCTGCAAAGTGGCATCAGACAGACAACTGGTATTTCCATGAGCTCAGGGCCACTGGAGAGGTTGTTTGGGGAGCTGCCTGATAATAAATGCTGGTAGGTGTGGCAGGATTTGGCTGAGTCTTGTAGTCATTGTGTTTTCTGATGAACTCAAGTTCTTAAATTTAATGTAGTCAAATAAAGCAAATCTTTCGGTGGCTGGTATTTTTTTGTCTTTAGAAATCCCTCTATATATACACCTAGAGATTATAAACACATCATCCCATTTTTATCTTCTAAACCTTTTTATAGCATTGCCTCTTACATTTAGGTCTTTCATTTTCTTGGAAATAATTACATGTGTGGTTGTGAGGCAGAGTTTAGTTCTTTATTCTTTTTTTTTCAAACCTGGATACCCATTTACTGTGGAGCCCAACCTTCTCTCAGTGACGTGTTAGGCTGCCTTCGTCAGTATGGAAGTGTCCAGATACACATGGGTCTCTTTCTGGTTTCTCTATTTTGTTCCCAAGTTTTGTCAACACCAGAGTATGTGAATGAATGTAACTTTATAACAGACCTGTAGAACAGAAAGTCTCCGCCACTGTAATGCACACCTGGTCGCTAGGCTTTGGGATATCTGCAGCCCTCCTCTATCTTTACCTATTAAAATAAAGCTAATAGTGACAGATCAAATTGGCTTAAGTCAGCTTATAACAATGACATTAACAAATACCAAATGCTATGTCAAAGCCTATACAGTCTGTAAAAGATGTCACAGACCTTGTGACAAAAGGGACAGTTTCACCTCCTTCCAGGAGGGCAGTTAGTTCCCTTGAAGCCAAGCCCAGGAAATTTGGCCGAAACCAAAATCCCAAAATATCCGCTGTGCTTCTTACACCGCATCAATAGCCGGGGGCGGTAACTTCCGCGTGGCTCGGAAGGACCTAAACAGTTTCTTCCCTATGGTTAATCCAGGCAATTCATTCATGATCTCTGTGTGCTTCCAAGTACCAGCCAGATGCAGGCAGCTGCTGCGATCTCCTATGGCTTCAGGGTTTAAAACTTCCTTTCCCCAATCAAATGTCCAGGGGCTCGTGAAGCTCTGGGCGCGAGGAAAACTGACACTCTGGAGAGAAGCTGAGTGGGCTGGGGAGGAGGCAGGATTGCACACTTAGAGACAGTTTCTGGGGAAGGTACCAGCTGGGACTTCCCGGCTAGTCAAGGTGACCCCAAGGGTCCAAAGTGCTTGCCAACAGGACTTGGACAAAGGCATTTTAGGCTGCAGAGGTTTGGAAAGGAACAAAGAGGAAAAGATCAGAACTTTTCTCTGAGAGCTGGAACGCAGGAGTGGTGTCTTTGGGCCTGAGTGTATCTGCCTCTACAAAACACTCGCTGGACTATTTCAGCCTCTTGGATTTTTACTTTCTTAGAGGCGCCATGAGTGATCTGTGAGTGCTGAGGATGAAAGGCCTGGGTGCCGCCATCAAATCCGCCAATACTGTTTGTGAGTAAATTTGCTGGGCCTCCGTTTCCCCATCTACACAATGGGAACAATAAAGCCTACTTCTCAAGGTTATTGGAGAGGTGGAATGAGGTCATGTCTGGCAAAGAGAGGATGCTCAATCCGGACTCTGATTTTATGCCCTTCCATGATGCCTTCTGCCACCAGAGGGGTCATCTATCCCCACACTGCCCCCCTTTAGGTTTTTCTTAGATTCACTGAAGTATAATTTATGTGCCATAAAATTCACCTATTATAAGTACACAATTCAATGATATTTAGTAAATTATAGCGTTGTGCAGCCATCACCTCTGTGTAGTTTCAGGACTTTTCTATCACCTCAAAAATTTTCCCCCACCTAACTTGCAGTCCATCTCGATATCCACTGCTCCCAAGCCCAGGAACCCCCTGATCTGCTTTCTGTTTCTATAAATTTGCCTTTTCTGCACATTTCATATAAATGGAATCATACAATATGTAATCTTTTACATCTGGCATCTTTCATTCACTACGATGTTGTTGAGATTTATCCGTGCCACAACATTTATAGGTACTTCACTGCATTTTATTGTTGAATACTATTCTATTGCATGGCTATTCTACACTTTATGTATTCGCCTGATGATGGACATTTGGATTGCTTCCAATTTGGGGCTGTTATGAATTAATACTGCTATGACATTTGCATCCAAAGCTCTGTATGGACATAAGTTCTTGACCAATGCGCCGACATAAGTTCTTAATTCTCGAGTATACACCTAGGAAGGATCATATGATAAATTTCACTGTTGAAGAAACTGCCAAACTGTTTTCGAAAGTGGCTTCCCCATTGGAAGGAGGGCACCAGTTTCTCGACATCCTCACCACCTCCCGGTCTTGTCTGTCTTGTTGATTATAGCCATTTTACTGGCTGTAGAGGTATCTCGTTATGGTTTTATTTTGCATTGCTCTAATGATTAATGATGCCGAGTTCCCTTTTCGTGTGCTTATGAACCATCGTATATCTTCCTGGGAGAGATTTCTATTCAAATCTCTAGCCTGTTTTTAAGCTGGGCTGTCTTTATTACTGAGTCCTACGAGTCCTTTATCAGATGCGTGATTTACAGATATTTTCTCCTAATCTGTGGCATGTCTTTTCATTTTCTTCATGGTATCAAAGTACAGAAGTTTGTAAGCTGAATGAAGTCAAATCCATCAATTTTTCTCTTTTGGTGTCGTACCTAAGAACTCATTGCCTAAACCAATGTCATGAAGATTTTTCTCCTATATTTTCTTCCAGAAGTTTCAGCTCTTACGTTTAGGTTGATGACCCACTTTGAGTTGATTTTTTGTGTGTGCATGATGTGAGTTCAGGGGCCAATTCTTTTTTTTCCTTTCTTCATACAGATGTCCTATTAGCACATATTGTGTGTTAAAAGAGTATCTTTTCCTATTGAATTTCCTGGTACCTAGAAAATCAGTTGTCTATAAATTTGTAAGAACGTACTCCTAGGCTCTCAGTTCTGTCGCACTGACCTATGCGTCTACCCTTATGCCAGTACCACACTGTCTTGATTACTGCAGCTTTGTAGAAAGTTTTGAAACTGGGTAGCACATGCTCTCTAATTTTGCTCTTCTTTTTCAAAATCGTTTCAGCTATTTTGGGTCCCTTGCATTTCCCTATATACTTTAAGATCAACTTGTTAATTTCTACAAAAAAAGCCTACTAGGATTTTGACAGAGATTGTATTGCTTCTGTGGATCCGTTGGAGAAGAATTGCCATTTTAACACTATTGAGTCTTCTGTTCCATGAGCTTCTTTCATTTCTCTCAGCAATGTTCTGTACTCCAGTGCACAAACCTTGTACTTCTTTTACTAACTTATTCCTAGGTATTCTTTCTGATGCTATTGTGAATAGAATTATTTTCTTAATTTCATTTCTGAATTGTTCATTACTAACATATAGAAAAAAAATACAATTTATTTTTTTATACTGCTCTTGTACCCTGTGATCTTACTGATAAACTCGTTTATTAGTTCTGGTAGGTTTCTGGTGGATCCCTTATGATTTTCTACAATAGAATCATGTCATCTGTGAATCAAGGCAGTGCTACGTCTTCCTTTCCAGCTTGTGTGACTTCTATTTCTTTTTGTTGCCTGCTTACACTGGCTAGAACTTCAGTTGTGGAACAGAAGTGACAGAGCAAATGTACTTGCTTTGTTCCTGATCTTAGGGGGAAAGGGCATTCACTGCTCCATTTTTAAGGCACACCTTGCTATTCCTACCCTTCTCCCATGAGAACTGCTAGTGATTATAAGAAAAATAAATACTAAAGACAAGGGAAGCTAAGCTAACTAAAAAATATGCTCCTTTCCCAACCACAGCCTCAATTCAAACAAAGTATAACCGATCAGCAGGCCCCTTATTGTTTAAAACATTCATGAGGGGCCAGCCGAGTGGCTCGTTGGTTAAGAGTTGGCTTGGGAGTACGAGAGCTAAGCAGCAGGACCGCTGGTTCGGATCCCACATGGGCCAGTGACGCTGCACCCTCTACAGCTAAGATGGTGAACAACAGATTGATCTGGAGCTGGCCTGCCGTGAGTCGTCAGCGATGGTGTAGGCTGCAGTGGGGCTGCAGTGGGCTACTGTGAGCTACCGTGAGGGGCTGTGAGCCACCGTGAGTGGCCGTCCAATGGCCAGCAAGCGACTGCCTCACCTGGGAAGAGCGCAATGATCATAATACCAACATGGGCCAGTGAAGCGACGTCCTCCACAACTAGACTGAAGAACAAAAGGACAGCAACTTGTCTTTCCCCTTTCCCCGATTCCCCAATGCTGTTCCTCTCCCCCAATTCCCCAATAAAACCTTTAAAAAAAAACAAAACAGTCATGAGGTTGGAAGCCAGCTGGCCTGTCCAACAACAGGGTTGGTTGGAATATTATGCAGCCATTAAAAGTGGGCTCAAGAAGATTTTTTTTTAACAGCATAGGGAAATCCTTATATAACAGTATTAAAGAAATGAGAAAGAGAAACAAAAATAACACAGATAGGATGGTCTCAACACCATAAAGAAGTGCATGCAGAGGTAAAAGAAAGATGTAAAAACCTTCATAATTGTTGCCTCTGAGTTGAAGGATCATCAATGACTGTTTCTTTCTCATTTCTTTCAATTGCACAGATTTTTCACAATGAACATCTTGTAGCAACAACAACAAAAAAAACCCAAAACCTACACACAGGGCAGGCATGAGACACGGAAGTGTTGGCATTTTTCAGCCTTACCTTACAGTATTCATCAATCGGTATCAGGCGTTTGACAGCCACGTCCCGGATGTGGCTTCGTCGGAAGAGGATTTTGCCTGCAGACAATGAGAGTGCACACAGCGTTGTCAGGGAGCAGTGAGTGACAAGTCCTCAGCAAACTGGCGGGGGCAGGGGTGTGATATGGATGTCTCTGGTAGGGCTGAGTGGTACCCAGGTTCCTGGCTGCCATCCATATCCTTTGCTGCATGTCCACAGGGCCTGGATGGCCCCACGCATGGCCCTCCAAAGCCCTGTTCACAGCTCTAGTGCAAGGTCTGGAGGAAGACGGACTCAGTGGGTAAGTTTCAATGAGTTAAGGGAGGCGAAACCAACCCGTGGGAGGAAGGGGCTCCTACCCGCTGAAGAAGGAAGGTCAGACCTGATGATCTAGGGTTCTCAGGCTGGCTGGGTAGAATAAGGGATGCTCAGATACGCCCTAATCTAACGGTTCAGTCTCCTTTCTTCCTTCACCTCATACACATTCTGCTCTGGTCTTATGTTCCCCAAATACTCCATGCTCTCTCATGATCCCTCTTCCAGGAATATTCTCCCCCTCCATCCTTAACCACCATCCCTGTTGAGAAACTCATATCCACTTCAAATGGGTGAAGAGTTCCTGTCTCTTTCTGATTGCACACACCACATTATCGATTTACTGGTAGTCTTTCCAGGCTCTGCACAAACAGGGGCTGACTGGGCCTGAGCCAGTTTTGTGCCTGCACCATGTGGCACAAACATTTAATGAATGTGTGAAGGTAGCTTCCCCTTGTGAAGATGATGCACCCCTCTAATTTCTTCCCTAATTGGTGTTTGCAACAGAAGGTTCCAGGCCTTCCTTCCTCACTGAATACTGACAATCCATCCACTACTTGCTTGGTGACACCGTGAGCACTGGGGTGAGGTACCAGGCCCTCTAATATGACATATGGACAGAGGATGTGGGTCACAGGCAAAGACAAGCATATAAATGGTACCACCAAGGGACCCTGGAAAAACCTAAGATGCCGAGATGTTCAGGGTGAACTTTGTTTAAAGCCAATCCATGGGTTCCCAAGAGTCCCGTGAGGAGATGGTGGCAAACAGCATGCATGGAGAATAAAGCTGGTCTGGGTTCACGGTACGGATCTGTCACACAGGGAGGGACAGGCAAATCAGATCTAGGACATCACAGAGGGCCCAAGAGGTGGGAGACAGAGACGAGCCCCAGAGCCACCAGGAGCCATCTTGGGGTCAAAAAGGGAGGCACAGGGAGACCATAGCTCTCCAAACAGCAGAGCACGAAGACCTACTAAGAGCCCCACCTACTTCTGATCCGAGGAGGGAGGTCAAGGAGAAAAGTTTGGGTCACGAGGCTGGTAGGGCCAGGAGAGGTTAACCACTGTGCTAAGATGCTCTGGGGAGGCTGCTGTCTCTACAGACCAAGCTTGGGCGAGCAGGGACAGGATGGAAGGAAGGGAAGTTTTCATAACAGCACAGAATCGAAAGGGATGACGAGAAACAGCCTCCTGACTCAGAGCAATGCAAGCTGGTGCAGGAGGTCTGCACCCAAAAAGACCATGTGGCTAATCCGACATTTGAAATAACCGGACAACTGACTCCTGGATAGAAGAGCACTATTTTGAAATTAGGTAGGTACAGTCAATGTAATAGTGAGCCTTGTTTTTGCTCATGTCTACCAATTAAAAAAAGACCCACAGTGAGATGAAATACATATTTCTCACATTCCTTAACTGGGAATCTTGTTTCTTTACAGTGCTGATAGTTTTAACTCTGCTTATGAGTTGGTCAAACTTCTGATACACCGTGCTTGTTAGAAAAGAAAAATCTAGAAGAAAACGCATTACAGAGTTCAGAGTGTTTGTCTGAGGGGTGGAAGAGATTTCTTTTGTTTTCTTTATACTTTCCCCAAAGTTCCTACCACTAATATTTATGGCTTCTAGAGTCAGAAAACTTTCATGTCACTGAGAACAACAACAACAAAAAAGCGAATAATGCATCAAATGGGTTTGCAACCTGGCTTCCCTGGTAAGACGATCTTGCTCCCTCCCACACTTGTCACACACGATCCCTATATGAGCCCTGTGTGCCCGCACTGGGGGCCTGGGGGCCGGCCCTCCCGGCACTGACGGCTGTTCCCCAACAGGGAGAGACCCAGACGACATTTGGGGTGGGACAGTCCTTCTCTGGGTGGGAGTGGTCCCTGCCCTGCTGGATGTTTGGCATCCCTGGCTCAAATCCAAGAAGGGCTGGTGGTCTTCCCATCCCCACCCCACCCCAGTCACTGTGAGAGTCAAATTACCGCTGTCATGCGTGGGACTACTTGTAGTTTAGAACCCCTAGGAGTGCCGTGGGCCTTCAGGAAAGATAGACGTGTGCCTGTGAAGAGAAATCCTGCACAGCAAATGCTTCCTGCCCTCTAAGCTACTTCTCAAGAGAGGAGCCTCTACTAAGTAAGACGTTTGGTCCCACTTGGGCAGAATTTCCCCTTCTGCAAATCAGAGGAAGGGTGGAGAATGGGGTGTGCAGGCTTCCTCCTACAAGGTTGCGAGCCAGCTGAACTTATTTACAACAGGCCTGGTGCTAGCACTGGCCCGCAGGAACAGCCGCCACCAAAGGGAACTCACCCAAGGCCCAGCCTGCAGGGACCTCAGCCCCTGCAGGGTGCTGAGGACAGAGAACTCAGGCACCTTCAGCGTCTCCTGAGGGTTTGACACAATGACAACAGCTTCACTGCTCTCCCCGTGCAGCCTCAGTGGGACAGGAGTCTCTGGGCACATGTCAGGTGTCCTGCCAGCTAGGGGGACAGGGAGCTCCGTGGAAGCAGCGGGCCAGCCGGGGAGAGGTCACAGGCTCTGTACTCAGCGAGGCCCTGGGCCCATGTGAGGGTTGCCTCTTGTTGGCCGTGCTGCCTTGGGAAATGCATTTACCTCTCATAGACCCTGTCTCAGCTGTAAAATAGGAGAGCAGCCCCTATCACTTTGTAGTAATCTCTATGACACCGAGCATAGGACTTAGCCCCTCGTAAATGCTCACAAAACGGTAATTACTTTTTGCTTTTCAAACAGGTTAGCTGATACTGCATTACACTCTGCACTGAAGAGCACACGTCTTTCCTCAACCCCCATCCCCACCCCCCCCAACACACACACTTGGTTTCTTGAGACCTGCCTCCTACTGGCTAAGTTGTCATTTATCTACAGGCTGTGGGACAGAACCGGGTGGCTGGCATGTCCTTGGCCGGTACCTCCTGGGTGAAAGTCTGATGGGCAGCAGCCCCCAGTCTGCCCCTAATGTCAAGTTGAGTTGTGGGGGAGGAGGGTGAGCCAGCCTGGACCCGCCCCTCACCAGCCCGCCTGCCTGGGGGGGAAAGGGTGCTCAGTGGAGAGAGCAGCCTTTGGTGGGAACCAGCAGGCTTTTGTTTTCCACAGTGGAGGAAGGCCAAACTGTAATTTTTAATTTTCAAGCCCTGTCCTCTGCCAAGTTGGCTTCCCCAGCTCTTGCTGCCTGGGGTGGAAAATTGCACAGGGCGGCTCTCCCCTCCCCCGCCTTTGTGCTAGCGTGAGACTCGCTTTTGTTCTGCTGACGTGGCAGTCCTGGCAGAAGAGTGACCCCTAGGAGAGGGGGCGTTTCTCCCACGGCTCCCTGCCCTTGGACTCGGCCTTGAGGAAAAGCTAAGAGGTGGGCTGAGAAAAGACGCTTCAGGCGTCCTGGGGCCCAGCGCGACCTCGCCGAGTGACAAGTGGGTGCCCTGGGCAGGAAAATCAGGCAGAATCCCTGAGAACAGCATTTTCATGAATTCGTGGGTAGAAGAGGATTACGTAACCACAAAAGCTTTCAGGGGCTTGGGAGAGGGTCGGCTCAAGTTCCTCTCTGTTCTGGGAAGTTTTTCCACAGCTGGTTTTGCCTTTCGTCCAGTGACGAGTTATAACTCACTCCCCTCCTTTCCTTAAGAAAAACCTACATTGAGAGCCCAGTTCAACTTAAATATCCAGACTGGCCATTTAAGTACGGCTCCAAGATATGAAATACCAAGAAATTCCAGAGGAATGTCACGGGCCCCGTTTCTGTCTTTACTGAGGACCAGGGAGAGACGCTTGTGCCAGGGAGAGACGCTTGTGAAAAAGGGGTCATGTCCCACTTTACAGATGTGAAAATGGAGTCCCGGGGGTGGCGGCGGGGTGAATGTCATCTGCTTGAGGTCACAGGGCTGGGTCTGACTCCAAAGCACGTGCTCTGGAACACTGACATTTGGCCGTTGGCAGCTAGCACTCGGGATTTTCTCCAATAGGAAAAAAATTCCAGTGTGACTGCACACTTTCCCCGTTGAAGAACTAAAAACATTAGCTGTTTTAGGCAAACGATCCTACCAGTGGATGGGGGCCTGGCAAACTCATCTACCCTGTCTCTAAAACCACTCAACAATGGCGTCACCTGGAAGAGCCCAATCATGTGCCGATGAGAGAACCCTGGAGTGGGTAGGGGCGGCTGGGCTCCTGTGTGATCTGGGGAGTCTCCCCCATCACTGGGCCTGCTCCCTCCTCTGCAAAATGATAAAGATTTGAAGAGCCCTTCCAGCTCTAAGTACTTGTGATTCAGGGGGACTGTCAATTTGCTGAGTGTCTGTACATAAACATAACAGTCAGTACTTACTTGCGGCTAGTTCTGCGCCAGGCACTGACCTGAGTCTCATAACAACTCTGTTATTTATGCACCGTTATCATCTCCAATTTGCACACGAAGAAACGAAGCTCAGTGTGCTGAAGTAATTTACCCAAGGTACCATAGTGATGGGGCGGGGCTCTGGGATTTGAACCCAGGCCGCCTGACTTGAGGCACGGATTTTGGAGCCAGCCATACCTGTGTCTGAATCCCAGCTATGCCATTTGGGCAAGGGATTAGAATTCCTCTGCGCCTCAATTTTCTCATCTGTGGAGTGAGCATAGTAATGTCTACCCTGCAGGATTGTTTTGGGGACTAAATGAGTTAACAAACGTAAAGCTCTTAGCCCGGCGACTGGCCCACAGTAGACATCCAATCAATGGCAGCTATTATTACTTGTGGCAATAACACTGGTTTGGGTGGCCCACATTCTGAGCTGAAGTCTTGATGCTTTGCCTTTGGTAGGGACTTTTTTTTGGAAGCAGGGAAAGGGATACTGAGAGCCTTGAGAGCAAGGACTGGCCCTTAGTACATTAACTTCCCCACAGGCCCCACAGGCCTGGCACTCACAAGGTGCTGGGTAGCTGTGGCAGGTAGGCAGGCAGGCAGAATATCCAAAATGCCCCCCAGAGAGGTCCCACCCTAATCCCCAGAGCCTGTGACTACGATGTGATCACTGCTGGCATCCTGATACAGCATATACAGTGGCTCCCTTTGAGACAGGGAGAGTACCCTGCATTAGCTGGGTGGGTCAACAGAATCACACGAGCCTTTCAAAGCAGACAGCTTCCTCCAACTGGTAGCAGAAGCCATTCAAAGCAGAAGAAAGATTCAACGCTTCACTGCCAGTCTGGAGATGGAGAGGCCACATGAGGAGGGATGTGGGCGGCCTCTGGAAGCCCTGGCTGACGGCCAGCGAGGAAACAGGCATCTCGGCTCTAGAGCTGCAAAGAGGTGAATTCTGCCAAGAACCTGAGTGAGGCTGGAAGTGGATTGTTCCCCAAATCCTCCAGATAAGATCCCAGGCTGGCCAAGACCCCGACTCCAGCCTTGTGAGACCCTAAGCAGAGCATCCAGCTGAGTCTGCCTGGACTTCTGACCAACAGAATTGTGAGATAATAAATGGGTGCTGTTTTAAGCGGCTAAATTGGTGGCAATTTGTTATGAAGCAACAGGAAACCAACACAGCAGCCATAATAACAGAGGCAGCTCATCACAAAAACTTTATGCACCAATTATTCCCATTTTAGAGGCAGGAGACACTGAGGCTCCCCGAGGTGAAGTATCTTGCCCAAGCTTGTAAATGGTGTAGCATCTAACCCTAAGGCACACACTCTTAGCACATTTCTACAAATGGCTGAGACTGGTCATTGGGACAACGCTCCCGGGAGGATAAGCCAAGAGTTCTGGGAGCCTCCGGGTCCCCCACAGGCCCCTTCTCAAAGCACGTCTCACCTACCTGGCAGAAAGGGAATGATCCGCTGTTTGGGGTCCTTCTGACCTCCTTCCATGGGAAATTTGTCCAACATCTGCATCTAAAATGGGGGGAGAATACCAAAAAAAAAAAGATAAATGCATCCGTGACATTTAAAGGAATTACGTGAAATATGTGATTTGATATACAAAAGCTCACTTTGTTCAGCTTTTCAGGAGCCCAAGCTAATGGGGAAGGCAAGGTCAGTTGGGACCTCGGAGCACCATGCAAACAATTCTTTATGTCCACAGCTGCCAGATTTGTGAAGGCTCAGAGCTGGGAGAGACCATTACTCAGTTTGCCTGGGGGTATCTGGCCACAGGACCTGAAATGTGACCAACACCCCCAGGGCCACCAGACTTCCACGGATGGCATTTCATCCTGTTTCCCCCAAATTGCCAGGAGACCCAATTAATCTGGTTGGGTCTATGGGATCATTATACTTCCCTGCCTCAGTAGGACCATGAAAAATTCCACACACAGGTGAACAGCGTGCTTTTCTTTTTAAAACCAGCCCCTACAGAGTGTTTTAGGGATTTATAGGTTCTAACACTATCTTCTTTTCCCCCTCTCAGATTTACTTAAGATAACATTGGAAGACCATGAAAGGGAACTTTTAAAACACAAAAAGGTGGGCCGGCCGAGTGGCGCGATGGTTAAGAACCCGCTTGGGATGCCAGAGGGCCCCGGTTCGGATCCC